GGACCAGAAGGGGTGGGGCCTTGGGCGGAGACAGGGCAGTCAGCCCTCAGCACGACCCAGACAGCGGCGCTGAGCCTGGCGCTCAGAAAGTGATTTAAAGAACCTGGTCTCCCCTGCTGCCACAATAGCAATGGCTGGGAGCCCAAGGCCCTTTGAATCATTGAGACTTGGGGCAACTGCCCTCTCCTCTCGCCCCTCCACTTTGTACGTGGGCCTGTGTACCAGCTGTAAAATGGGTGCAATATTGCTTCTCCGTTTCATAGGAGCATTATGAGGATTACAGTGCTTTGAGATCCTTTGAGGGAAGTCCCTAGAGCAGGGGTGGGGAACCTTTTGTGGGTCGGGGGCCACTGACCCACAGAAAAATCAGTCGGGGGCCACACACAAGTAAGAAGTTAAAAAAAAAAACCCTCACTGATGTGGCCCCTGTCTGAGAAGGAGAAAGACACTCCCTACCTTCCCCTCTGACACCAGAGCCTGGGGGGGGTGGGGGGGGAGGGGGACAGCCTCCTAGATTTTGTGTGCTCTAGCTTCTTTGTAGGGGAATGGGGAGACTGGAGTGCCAGTGCAGGTTCCCCAATGCTGGGGGTGGCCCTGAGCCTCCAGTTCCCACCCCCGGGGGTTCCTTGCCCCTGCCCTAGAGAACTGCCAACTATAAAAAGTAAGTCCTTAGTTAGATCTTTGGAGTGCACTGAACAACTAAGCAAGAGTTGTAAAAACAAACAGATTTTCTGTTTCAGCAGCCATTTGGTATGTGATGTGATAATAGACAGGAGAGACTGTCCACTATAAACATACCTTTGGGAACTCTGGAGTTTGTTTTCTTAATTAAACAGCTCCCATGACAGTTCTTTCACCTGCTTAGAACTGGCCCACCCCCCACCCGCCAGGCGATTCACAAAGATTGAAAACAGATCATGCTTGCAATGCTCAAAAATCCCCAAGTAGCAGCAGCCTCTGTCTAAGCCATGCAGCAATTTCTTGACCATTTATATGTCCAATGACTTAGGCAGAACTAATAGCTGTCAGCTTAGCAGTGCTCTGACTTTTCCCTTGTTCAGCCTACTGGGAAAAAGAGTGAAGATGAGGTGTAAAATTCACAATAGGATTTTATAGCCCAAGCAGCTAAAACATCACATTGTGAATTCAGGGGGGAGAGAAAGATGATAAAAATCACAGACTGGCCCAACTAGGATGCTTGGCTCTGACTTCCAGCACTAGCATTAGAAAGGGATGCAGAAGAATAGGCCTTATTCTCTAGTCCATGACAATGCTGTGGGTGTATCATTCACACAAGTGCAAACCATACACAAATGCTGCTATTCTCATTTGGTACCATTTTACTCCTGCTTTGCACGCATGCGAAGGTCTATGCAAAGGGAAGGCCAATAGAGTACCTTGCCCAATGGCAGAAGCTTTTCATCTCTTCCCCTTTGCTGTCTTCTCATGACCAATCAAGCATACTGGGATCTCCAAGTTGTGCATATCAGCCCATCCTGTCCTTGTGAGCACCCTAATGTCCTTGCTGACCGCCACACAAACCATAACAGCAGTCCTTTCTCACAAGCCAAGAACATACTTACCAGTTTCTCTGGGAACCTGATTTCCAAATGTTAACACAGATGCAGGACCCTCAAATCCTACATCAGAATGCTTAGACCAAAATTTGGATGCATCACTAATTTAATGGCACCTCCTCTCTGGGTGGCCATCTTGGAAAATTCAGTCCCTTCTCTCTCTCTCTCTCTCAGACTCGCAGCACCGACTGCCATGTTGAACAACAGCTGACATGTGATGAAAGGACAAATTTCATGCACTGAACTGTCATTAGAGCGGTGATTCTCCAATCACAGAGGAGCAAAAGGCAGAGGCATAAGAATAGGCGCCACCAACCTGGTCACCACAAAACATTCACCAACTGGAAAAGAAAGTCCCCGGTCCCATTGTACCATACTTGCTTGCAATCTTTGACTGTTCTTCGCTTTAACCTACCTTGCTCTCCCCTTCGATGACTATGACAGGCACAGCAGTGGCAGGCCAGCGGTGTTTGGCTGGGAGGGGTTTATCACAATTCCATAAAACAATGATCTGCAAGGAATATTAACCTATGGTGTTAGACACACATGGGTACACTTATGTCTACAGAATTCAAACCAGAAGAACCTTGAACACCAAATGGATTCCCCACTCCTGCTTTTTGTTATTTACATCATGTACCTACTCTCGTCTTACAGAACGGCTGTTACTTTACCCCTCATCTCAAAATAAATCAGAGTATTTGTGACGTGTTTCCCACTTTTATTAAAGTTCAGGGATTTTCTTCCCCACACGAGCTGGTTCAGGTCTCAGATTGTAATGACCTCAGAGACAAGGAGGATCAAAATTTAAGCCCGGGATTTTGAAAGGAGGAGAAGTGACAAGACGTGCAGCCAATGGGAGCTGTGTCTTTATGAGGGCTTTGGCTCAAAAGCCATGGAGAGTCAGACAGCAGGGCTCACCTGTGCACAGTACTGGGACTTGGCTACAGCAACAAGAAGTTTCAGCACAGGCTGAGATTGGGAAACCAAGGGAGTTACCGCATGGATAACAGCCGTGAACTTGGAAGGGGGTTTCAGACCTGAAATGAAAAATAAATGGAAGTTACTAAAGCGGAAGCCGCCTTGTGTAGTGTAAATCAAACAAGTCAGATATGGAAAAGGACAATTTTAAGAACAAAGAAATTACCATGTTGGATCAAACCATCTCACCCTGTCTCCTGGCTCCACTCTTTCTCGTAAACTTTCCAGATCTCTGCCTATATTAACACTTCTGCTTTTACATCCTTTCCTCTGATTCCCCCGGATGCCCTGCAACCTGGCTTATTCTCCTTGCCAAGTTTATCAGTTAAGTTCTCCGGGCCAAGTCTAAGGGCTTCTTCTCTCATCTTCATGCTACTTGATTTCTGTTGCTACGACTACTAATAAGTACCCCGCCCCCTTGAACTTCCTGATAGACATTGGCTTCTTGGCGCTTTCTTCCTGCCTCTTCAATAGCTCCATCAACATCTCCTTCTTTCTCCCCCCCCTCCCCCGTTCCAGCATCCCTCAGAGTCATGTCCTTTGTCCTCTCCTTTTATCTCCACAGCTGACCCAAGGGCAACTTCAACTGCACACGAAGCTTCAACTATCATCTCTGAGTTGATGACTTACTATTCTGCCTGCCCATTGCAGAACAATCCCCTTCTATCCACACTTGCAATTCTTCAAGTCTCTGTAACAGATGATTCCAGTCATCCTGCCACCACCTCAAATTTTGGTGGCATATGATAGATCCTATCTGCTTCCTCCTTTCTCTACCACTGCAAATACCATTATAATTCCACCTCATCTAGGCCCAGAACCTTGATGGCACCTCTGTTGTCTTTGGGTATTGTCAAGCAAAGCTAAACAATGAATGCAAAATATCCATGTTGCCATGAAGTTGCCAGCTACTGACCTGTAAGAAGATAACCAGAAAGTACAGGGAAGACAATGATTTGTTACAATTTTATCTGAATTATTAGAGGACTGACTTGATATCCTTATGTGTATGCAGGTCAGTCAATGACACTCCATCCAGCAAAGGCCAATATTTTGCAGCAGTGGCTCACCCAGGAGTAGGTGTATTCCTGGGGTACTCAGAGGTCTTCCATAACTCATCTAGGGTATGTCTACACTACAAAGTTAATTCAAACTAACGGATGTTAGTTCGAATTAACTTTCATAGGCGCTATACTAGCGCTCCGCTAGTTCGAACTTAATTCGAACTAGGAAAACCTCATTTTATGAGGATTAAGCCTAGTTCGAACTAGCTAGTTCGAATTAAGGGGTGTTTAGCCCCTTAATTCGAACTAGTGGGAGGCTAGACCTCCCAAGCTTTCCCTGGTGGCCACTCTGGCCAACACCAGGGAAACTCGTCTGCCCCCCTCCCGGCCCCGGACCCCTTAAAGGGGCACGGGCTGGCTACGGTGCCCGTGCCAGGGGCAAGCCTGCCAGCACCCAGCCCGCAGACCCTGCACCTGGCACGGATCGAGCCACTCAGCCGATGCTCCCCAGCCCTCCCCCTCTTCCCGGGACCAGGCTGGCGGCTCCTGGGAGCTTGCCCGGGACCGCAAGAGGCGGGCACCCGCTTGGGCTAGTGTAGACATCGTGGACCTTGTCCACGATCTCCGCCCTAGGCACAGGAAAGTGGCCGTCTAGGGCAGGAGAGCTGCCAGCCTGGCCACCCAGGAGCAGGTGTGCAAGAGTATCAAGGGGGTCCACTGAGCCCCCCGACCCTGAGCCCTGAGCTTACAATGGCCGTCCTGGGTCAGACCAAAGGTCCATCTAGCCCGGTAGCCTGTCTCCCGACAGCGGCCAACCCTAGAGACCCTGGAGGGGATGGGCCGAAGACAGTGACCAAGCCATTTGTCTCATGCCATCCCTCTCCAGCCTTCCACAAACCTTGGCCAGGGACACCACTCCTTCCCCTGGCTAATACCACTCCATGGACCCAGCCTCCATGACTTGATCTCACTTCCCTTTAAACTCTGTTCTAGTTCTAGCCTTCACAGCCTCCTGCAGCAAAACGCTAATTCGAACTAGTTTTTTAGTCTGGATCCATTAGTTCGAATTAGCTTAGTTCGAATTAACTAATTTGAAGTAAGTTAGTTCGAATTAACTTTGTAGTGTAGACATACCCCTAGTTATTTGCCTCATTTTACAGCAGTCCATGTGAAAAACACTAGCAATTTTTCAGTAATAATGTCCTGTGACTCTTTTGTATTTTTACATCTGATTTTTAAGCAAGTAGTTTTTAATTGAAGTGAAACTTGGGGCATGCAAGTCAAATCCGACTCCAAAAAGGTATATGGCGGTCTGAAAAGGTTCAGAGCAACTGGTTTGGAGCAGGATAGGGTAAAACAAGAATACCATTAGTGAGATATTTCTGGTGACCCATTTACCACACACCATCCAGAAATTAACAATATTCCTACAAGCAAAGCTTGTGAGGCCTACAAGCAAGGATTCACTTACCTAGATTAGCATAGTAGTAAGGAAAATCTCCCAGATACGAGGAATACTGTGGCAATACGAATAACCCTCCAGGATGTTTGTTCCATATTAAACTATTACGTGATATGTGCTTAAATATTCTGTCCTGAATAATCTGGAAAATAAGAAAGGTAGTGATCTGTAAATAAGTTGTAATGGCCAACAGTAAAGACTTCAGTAACTCTGGCAAACTGCAATCACTACACATTTTGTAAAAAAGCACTGACACAACTTACTTGGCATTCCTTTTTAATCTCTTTTTAAAACAATGCAGAACCCATACTCTTCTGCATGCTTTTGGCAGTTTGAGGCATTGGATAACAGTATTCAAAGTACCTCATTAGTCTCTGTGGACATGGGGATCTTGCAATTTATTAGATTCTTCATTTAAAGTGAAATATTTTTCTGTCTAAAGTCACTTGTCAGTTGCAAGCAAAAACCCTCACTGACATGGAGAAGGAAAAAGACACTCCCCACGTTCCCCTCGCACACTTTAGGTATGTCCACCCAGTAACACTGTTTCAAATAACAGAGCCGTCTACAGAGCCGGCAGTTATTTTGACATAATGCTGAAATACTGTCAAGCTGAGGACTTCTTATCCAATTCCTGTAACCCTAATTTTAGGCGGAGTATGGGAAGTCGGAGGAAAAGTGCTCTATTCCGAAATAAGTGCTGTGTAGACAGCACCAAAACTCGTAATAAGCTATTTCTAAATGAAGTACGCAACTGACGTAGCTCAATTTAAGTAGCTTATTTCAAGTTAATCCCTGCTGTGTAGACGCGGCCTCTGTGTGCTCCAGCCCCGCAGTGGGGCCACAGGGAGGCTGGAGTGCCACCACGGGCTCCCTAATGCTGGGGGGGAGCCCTGAGCTACAGGGGCTGGATCCAGGCAAGCCGGGGGCTGCATCCACATCCAGCTTCTGGGTCTGAGGTTCCCCACCCCCGTGTTAGAGTTTAACTGTTAAACCCAAGGACATCTCTAGATACTTCTGTTAACAGATGTCAAGTTATATGCTTCAGCCATGAGTGTTTTGCATCGGAAAGGTAGCGACTGCCTTCTCTCTTCCTTTAATTTTTGCCACTAAATATAGCAAGACATTAGAAAATGAAGAGAGAAATCAGAAAATGCATATTCTTCTACAATCTGATGAAGAACTAGATGGGATTAATTCTTCTAGTCCTCCTTCCACCACCTCCTTTTTTTTCCTCTCAGAACTGATTAAAAAAAAAACAGATAAGATGTAGTCTGTAGGTGTAGAGGGTGTGTAGGTTTCTATAGACTGGACAATCTTCCATTTTTCTGGTAGCCAACAATGCTTCACACAGCTCACATGCGATGCTTTCTCAATGTACACAGAGCAAAAAACAGTTTCATCCTGAAACAGGCTTCTAATGCCATGCAACATATGCAAACATTTTGACATGTGAGGTATACGAATCTTATGGATATTGTTACTCAGTAGGCTAGGGAGCCAACCGGTGGAATATCTCTCATTTAACACATACATTTATGACTCATCTGTCCAGGGTTCCCTTTAATTTTTATACCCATGTGTGGAATGACTTTTGTTATGTGCACCAATATGGAGGCAATGCATTGCATAACAAAAGTCATTCTGCACACTGGCAGTGTGTGGTGGTGATGGGGCTGAGGGTAAGGGCTCTAAATGGGAACTCGGTGTGGGAGGGGGGTCCAGGTTGGAGCATGTAGTTGGGGTGTGTGTGGGGGAGGACTCCAGCTAGGGGCGTGGGCTTTGGAGTGGAGTGAGGATGAGGGACTTGGGGTACAAGAGGGGGACTCTAGGCTGGGGCTGAGGGATTCAGAATATAGAAGTGGGCTGCACACTGATGAAAGGAATTGGGGTGCAAGAGGGCATGAGGAGTCCAAGGTGGACCCAGGGATACGGGGCTTGGTATCTAAGGGGGGCTACAAGTTTGGGGAGGTGCTTAGGCCTGGGGAGGTTGGGGTACAGGAGGAGGTACAGGCAGTGGATTGGATGTTGAGGTACAGGCTCTGGACTAGGGTTATGGTCTGAAGGTGAGGCCAGGGATGAGAGATTTAGAGTACAGGCAGTGGCTCCAAATTTGGGGGGGCTTGGGCTAACTTGGGCTGCTTCTGGTCAGCGTCACGAAGCCAGGCCATCTGGTGCCTGCCTGCCCTGGGGCATTGCACTGCACCCTGGAAGTGACCATCGGGTCCGGCTCCATGGGAGCGGGGGAGAGATTCCATGCTATGCATGCTGCTCTTGCCCGCAAGCACCACCCCCCAGCTCCCACTGACTTGTTCTTAGCCAACAGGAGTGCAGAGCTGGTGCTCAAGTCAGGAGAAGCGCAGAGAGCCCTAGGAGCTAGACCTGCTGGAGCCTCTTTCCCCTGACTATAGCAGCTCTGTCTGGGGCCAAGGGGAGTGTCTTTTCCCCCCCCCCCCCCCCCCACCCTCTTCCTATCCCTGCCCCCCCTGCCAATAAAATTGTTCATGTGCAGAGTTCGGAGCCTCTCCTGGCAGCTAGCATGGAGTTTTCAGAGAAGTGACCTGTCAGGAAGGGATAAGCTCTGTGGATTTCTGAGCCTCACGTGTAAACAAAAACCAAACACAATCAGTAGGAGCTTTTGAGGCTCTATGGGGATTATGGAGCACAGGGAGTTGTATGAAGAAGAGGTGAGTCGCTCAGCAGGCTCTTCTGCCTATATGGAATGTGTTGCTGGCATAGCTTTTCAGCTCCCTCTTCTGCATATTATTCCATCCTATACAGGTTCTTGTATTGGCCTCATCTCTGTAGTGTCTGTGTCTGCCAGGATTGGCACCACACACCTCTCACGTGTGGTCCATTCTCTCTCACATCTCCTATTCCCAGGAGACCTGTGTGAGCCATGTAGGGATGGTTTCTATTTCTTACATTCTGCGCTGCTCTGTGTTGCTAATGGAGAAGGCAGGCTAAGAAGTGCACCTTGCACTTGAAGCAAAGAGGAGGAGCTCTCTCCCTTCACGGTGTCAGCCTGATCCACAAGAGAAAGCTTCACTTCAAGATACAAAGTTCCATGGCCCTCCAGCGCCCTGCGGTTATTTACCAGGGGTTTCATCCTGGAGCTTTAGGTGACGATATGCAGGGGTGGGAGATGGCGGGGAGGCCGCTGAGGGATAAAGACCTTCAGACTTTGAACTTGACTTCATACTTCTACAGGAAGCCAGTGTAGAGAGCAGGGGACAGGTCTGATGTGCTCAGGGTAGCTGAGGAGACATGCTGCAGCCTTCTATATCTTTTGAAGTTCCCTATGGGATGATAGCTTCATGCCCAGGTATATTGTACTGCTACAGTCCAGACAGGCAGTGACTAAATGATATGTAGGATCATCAAGATATTGCAGTACATGGCATTACAGTGAAAGACCGAAAGTAACTACCAGAATAAATCCTTTCCCTCTCCAACTCTAGGATTTACTCCCCCACATCAGATTTTAAGCAGAGGGCACATTTGATCTTACCAACGTCCGACACCTAAATAAAAACCTTTTTATGCAACAAAGCCAAACCTTTCATTTTTTCCTCTTTTTGAAAGAAAATATTTCAGGCTTTTCTAGTGATTGTTGGACATGAGCATCTGAGCACGCATTTTATTTTCCACTGAACAGGATTGCTGTTAATTTGCCTTCTCTACACAGAAGTGGTTCTGTGAGATTGCTTATCCTGGGCGAAATCCTTCCCCCCCCCCCAAATAAACCCAGAGACTAGGATATGCCTGACTTGGTTTCATAAAATGGAAACCTTGCAGCTCCTTCCCTGTTCTAGCCCCAGTCTTCCTTGCTACCAAGCTCAAGCTTTTTTGCTAGTATCTTCCTAAATCCTACTGGTATTAGTAACTTTGTCCTAGTCATTGACAACTATGACCATATTATCTAAAATGTTTCAGTTCAGCCCTAAAGATGCACTTGAGTGCCTGGGGGACAGATTCTGTAAATCAGGGGTGGGAACCTCAGGTCTGGGGGACAGATGTAGTCCCCAGATCACCTGGATCCAGCTCCAGAGGTTCAGGGCTCCTCCCCCCCCAGCATCGGGGAGCACGCACTGGCACTCCAGCCCTCCTGCTGCCCCAGCATGGGGAGGAAGCACACAACATCTACTAGTCTGCCCCTCCTCTCCAGGTTCTTTCTCCTTTTCAGTTGAGGGCTAAGTCTGTGAGGGATGAGGGTTTTTTTTGTTTGTTTTCATTTTCGAGTTTTTTTTTTTTTTTTTGCTTCTCACTTGTGTGTGGCCCCCAACAGATTTTTATGGCTCTTGACACAAAAAAGTTCCCCACCCCTGCTGTAAACAAATGGAGTAGAGATTAAGTTCAACTCCTCAGCTGGGGACACCCCAATTGCAGGAGAGACTGCAGAGCCGATGTATGCCTCCTTTGCAACTCTCACTGGGAAAAGGGAGAAGAGCGGGTGGAATACAACACACTCTGGCTGCCCACAGATGTACTCCTGTATGTCACCTCTTATCTCCCTTGGGAAATGCACACATCTGCTAAGTCTCAGGTGACTTACAAGCACCCATTTCCAGACACCTGTGAACAGGCATCAAAATGTAAAGGGGTGTTGGGAGAAAAGGAGCTTAACAGTTCCATTTTTTCCAAAGCGAGTTCTTGTAAGGTCTTTTGAAGGATCACATGCGCTATGAATGACAGGAATACGGATTCATCAGCCATAAAGCCTTGAGAAGCCGTGATGGCACAAGACAACTTTTCCATGTGTCAGATGGTTCCCATTTGTCATCATGTCAGTTTTCTTATGTGGATTCCAATAATGAAGAAAATATTTCCTTAGGGGAGAAAAGTTATCAAGCTGCTGAAGGTTTTTAAAGTGACCAATCACATGCCATGAAAGCCAAGGTCAGACAACAGCTCAGCACAGACTGTGGCAGACATATTAAGGAACATCTCTTCTCTGACTAATATCTGAGAATTGTTACTCACCTCTAGTGTGGTCAATACAATCTTCTCAACTGAAGAAAAATAAGCCTCCCACAAGAACTGTGTCTGCTGTCTAAGTGCTAGGATTTTATCCTGATGGATAGACCTGATTGTAGAAGGAATCTGTAATACAAGGTGCAGTGCAATCAGATGGTGTGGAAAACAATGGAATCTGGTCAAATTAACATATGCTTGAGACTCCGAAATTAGCATTCTCTACCCTACCCAGCAACAGAGAATCAGTATAAGCCAGTAACCCCACCCAACACACATATGTGAATTAACATCTAAAGAACAGCTACTGGAAAATAAATGGATGGCACCCTTTGTGACCTTTAGTATTTGAGCCTATTGGCCAACCTTACGATTCTCTAGTAATTTTCCATTTTAAAAAAAAGTTGTTTCTATGGTAGCAAATGCTCCTTTTCTCCCTTGTGGAGCTGTGGCAAGTCACAGCGAGGAACCCTTCAGTAAATCCCTCACACACAAAGCTTTTTGCAAACCACTAATTTAACATACTAGTAGCTGCAGGTCATTAAGAGTCCGACAATAATCTCCATTCTGAAAGTATATTAAAGAAATCTGCAATTGCAGTCTCCCTCACAACATGGCAACGTAAGCACCCTGAAGAAATTATCACAGCATCTGCAGCAAAGCCACTAGTCTGTGGAATAATGTAGGGAGAGAAAAAGAAGTCCATCCTAATACTTGCTATTTACAAAGAAGAAAACAATTAATTTTTTCACTGGACACACTATGGAGCTT